CCATCCATCTGTCAGCGTGCACTTCTCCCAGCCGAGTAGGGGACGTGTGAATGCCACACTCCATCAAGCATGTCAGCTTGTAGATTACGCTCCAGACAGCTCCACAAGACTTCCCCATTACCTCCACATCAAACCCCAAATTAGCCGAACCGATCAGCAGTGGAGCTCTGGACGTCCACGCTCATTTTTCAGGTGTGGAAACGGGGCGGCAGTCTTTGAACCCAGAGTTTGCTCCTGTAGTCAGTCTCCAGCCAGCGAATGAGCATCCTGCCTAAATATCGGTGGAAGATATTGAACCGTTACCGTCCTTTTGAGTGATTATAAAAAAACAGGTTTAAAGAGTGTTTCGTGGACGTGTAGTTCCCCTCGCACTTCACCAACCGAGCAGCTGCTTAATCAAGGGGAGCTTACGCAGTTCTGGGGCTGCTGGCCTCTCAAACATTGAGCTTTCATGTCACTTAAGCACGCTTGCTTATAAGCAAAGAGTGCAAGGTGATTGATATTAAAATAGACGCGGTGCCCCTCTTACTGCAGGTGTTGGGATCACACCTGTGTTAGTACCGGTCTTCCCGTACACGTGTAAGCAAACCAGGATGTAAGCTGTCCAATCGTTCTTTTCGCTCGAGTGTAATTGTTTTAAGTCATTTCTTGCTTACACGGTGAAAAGGCTGTCTATTGGCTCATTAGCATGATTGGTGGGGTGTGTCAGCTACCAACCGTTTAGAGACATTGCCTCTCCCGAATGGTCATCTGAAGGTTATTCTCCTATTCTCACTTTAATAGCTAACCAGCCAGCTCTCATATCTACTGTAAGTTTTGCATTTTGTGGAAGAAACACTGAAGAATTTCTTCAGATTTGGCACAAACACTCAAACAGTTCCTGGACAAAGGTCAAAGGTGCACGATGACCTCACATAAGATGTTATTAAGCCATCATGCAAGATTTACAGTAATGGTGAAAGATTTTACATAAATGTAAGATGATAGAGTCATAATTAGGGGAAAGACATCCATACAACAGTGACTGTAGACGGTGGGTTTTGTTTCTCAGCCTGTGAAATGAGTTTGAGCACTTTTTTGGACAACACCAGCTGGTTCAGGCTTAATACAATATGACCTTAAATTTGCAGAGCCAGTTTGAAATGACAGTTTTATGCAATCCAGACTGTTATATACTCTGCCCTCGTTTGAGAACAGGCAGGATTCTCATTCTTAAGTTATTGGTAAATGAAAGAGATTCTAGTATTTTAAAGCTGCTCTTGCATTTTGGATGTATAGTGTTAAGTTTGGGGGGTTTAGCTCAGCAAAACTGTAATGCTGAGAGAAACTGTCTCTCAGGACGTGTCTCGTATACATGCTGGTGTTCTGAGGCTAACTGGCACTAAGCCTTGAAGATGAAGTGGTGTATGATTATTTGTTAAGTGAACCAAATGTTACCAGTCCATGTAGTCACAAGAAACACACTTTTCAGGACAACTCGGTTATACTTCAGTGTCGTCCTGTAGCTCTGCTTATGTGTATTTTAACCTACACTTGTGAGTTTGGTACAACTTCCCCCCTTTTGTCTTTTATTATTTGTGGCATAGATTCAAAAAGGTGCTGGAAACATGATATGATAGCCTCACGTAGTTGTTGCAGATTTCTCAGCTGCAAATCCATCAGATGATTGGTTCATTGTGGTCACATGGGAATGACGTGGGCAGCAACGATTCTCTGTGGTGTTTAAATGATGTTCAGTAGGGCTGCCACAAATGATTATTTTGATAGTCGACTAGTCACTGATTATTTTTGTGATTAGTCGACTAATCAGATCATCATCCATTGGATGTAAAACGTACAGCTTATTGCACCAGCAGCATCTGCTCTTATATAACTATCATTAGCTTACAGCTTTAAGTGTTTAAGGTCTGTGCTAACTAAA